GGGTAGGAGAGAGCCGGGATGCTTGTTAGAAGGCCTATTGTGAGGATTTTTCACAAGGAAAGGAAGTTCCTTCGTCCACCGATTCGACTCGTTGGAAAGGTTTGCACTGCTGATCGAGAAGTTTTCGCTTCTAAAGGTGGATAAGAAGGAGACGAGGATATTGCCGAGTGTCGAAGCGGGGGGGGAGGGAGGGAGAGAGGGAGAGGGGAGTAATCGGGAGTGAAAAGAAAACGCCGGCAGATTAGCATTTCAGGTTTTGAGAACCGGAACGAATTGTGTTTCGAGTGCTGCCGTACGCGTACACGGCTACTTAGGTCCACTTCTGCCGCTCTTAACCCTCGACAACCCTCGCTTTAGCGTCCCTTTGCGCGTCGTTACGATCTCTCTTTCCGACGTTTAAACCGAATAAAAATATATATATATATACTCTACGTTGCTTCTATTCCAAAAATAAAATCATCCATTGCTTGCGTTGGAGAAGAAAATCTCGCGATTCGATTGAAAATGTCTCTTCTGAAAGTTCTCGTCTGGAAAACAAATTTTGATTCTCCTCTGAAGAAAAGGAGAAAAGGTATTACAAGTACCCTTGTAATGGAAGGAAGTGGCGCGAAAGAGGAAGTTGGTTGATTTACGCGTAACCAGGATTAAACCCAAGAGAAAAGCTCCTCTTTCCATTCCTCGAGAGGGAGCGCGAAAGACACGAGGGAAGAGGTAACGAGGGCAAGCAAGGAGAAAGATGTTGGTTACCGGGTAACCAACGGAGAGAAGTCGCGGTTTTCGAGAGGCGATCCCTCATCGCGACGATGTAAATTCACGAGAGGGAAGATGAGGGACTTTTTTGCGCTTTTATTCGATTCGCTCGGGAGGAGAGGAGGAGCAGGAGGAGGAGGAGGATGGAATCGAACGTGAATTCGAAGAGGAAACCGGCGAGCGTGCGTCAGTCTCGGAGAGATTAGCGGGATCGCGGGAGGCAATAATTCAGAGGATCCCGTTTAAATCATCCTTACCTCGCAGTGAAAAATCGAGGTATTTCGATGCACAATGGGCCCGTTCACGGAATATTAATTCGAGAGGAGAGCGGAATCGGTGGATATCGTGGAAAGAGACGACTCTGGGAATCCGGTTGAATCGGAAACAATGGCGGCCAATCGTGGAACGCCGAATTAAACGCACTTTAGTCACGGTTAATTTGGTTAGCCGACGTTTAGTCATTAATAGATGGTGGCGCAAGATCGATCGGTATTTATTGACTGCCGATGATTCGACGTTTTCTCCACACCCCTCTCCTCCTCCTCCTCCTCCTCCTCCTCCACCACCCCCTGTTCCTTTCTCTCCGCCACGGATCTTTCCCCTCTCGATCCTCGATAGTTTCTCTCGAGCCACGGACTTGCTCTCGAAACGTTGACGTGGCCCAGGTCTCTCTCGTGTGTGGGCCAGTTTTAGGTTTATTAATGAACCAGCGCCGACCCGCTCTGCCGATTAGACACAGGGCGTGGTGGGAAGATTGCTAAATCAGATCGCGTTCCAGAGCCGCAGCCTCTATTATTCCTCTCGGCCTGCGTACGTGTATATGTGCGTGTCTGTGTACGCGTATATACGCGTTGGCCCAATATCTCTCGACACTCTTTGCTCCGGAATTTCAACCCCCTTTCGACAACCAACCCTTCTGTGTACGCTTTAATATCAACCACCCACGAATAAAAGGGAAACGGACGAAAACAAAAACACGATTTAAACAACGAACGAAACGCGGAGGACTTCGCTTCACCCCCCCGGAAATAATTTGGAATGGATCGAAAAAAGAGAGAGAGAGAGAGAGCTTGAGAACCCCCTCCGGCAATCTGAGAGCTCGTCCAACGAATGGTGGATCGTCCCTCGACCTGGAATAGGGGTGAGAGAGGGGAGTTCGGGGAGGGGTCGAATCGGCGAGGCATGGGGGAAAGGATCGGGCCGAATGGGTATCCGGAGTGGGAGAGGGAACATAATGTTTCCCACAGCGCGAGGAGTTGTATATTTTACGATATGGCGAGCAATTTGACATCTCGCGCGAGGCATAATTCACGCCCGTGCGCAGAGCTGGTGTGCGTGGCCCGAGCCTCGCCACCCTCCTACGTTCGCGGTGATAGCGGCCCCCTCGCTCTGCTTGTGTGCGCGGCGTGCGTGGCGTGCATCGACGCCGGGGAACACGCGAGAGAGGCATGAAGGATAGCTGTGCACACGCGTGCATGCACGCACCGGCACAGGACAGGTACGACGCGCGCGTCCAGACCATTACAGTTCTCGGACTGTTCGTAAATACCATCCTTTCTTTCTTTCTTTCTTTCTTTCTTTCTTTATTCCAAGGATGTGTCTATTTATTAACAGAGAGAGAGAAAGGGACGAATATACGTATATATACGTATGTATATGAATTGATCGTCTGGTTCAGGCTGGAAAGTAGAGCGAATTGAAAGTAGATAAACGATCAATGAAGAATATTGCGTTCATTCGGTATATATACGAATGAAGAGAAATTCTTGCGTACATCGATAGTTGATGCATAATATTCCACAGATCTTTATTTTTATCATTAATTTCCCTCAACGAGTTAACCGCTTTAGGAAGAGTTCATCTTCCAGAACCAAGTCTAATTGATTGTTAATTATTTCCCAAGATGATTAATTGAGGAATGTCGTCGCTCGAGTAAACGAGAATCCTCCTCTCTCGATTTCACTCCAATCACCTCCTGTTTTTATATACAGAAATATCGATTGCGCAATCCTCTTGCACGATGATTTTTAAGATTATGTATTATATATGTATACAGAGAACGAACCCTTTCCAACGAATGATGGAAATCATTCGTGTGACAAAGGCGAATAAAAAAATTAACAAAACTCGTGCCCGTTTGCCAGGAATAGTGGATAATTCGCACGCGGAAGCTGGATTCTAATCTCGCCGCAGGCCTCCATTTACAGCCGGGAGAGACTCGAGCTGTGTCTTTTTATCGCTGATACTCCGTTGGCGTGCTCGCGTGTCGTTTCACGCTAGAATTTTATTTATCGAGACTTTTCCCTCCCCGACGCCTCGACGCTCTTCCAAATCGTTTTTTTTTTCTTTTTTTTTCCCCTCTCCCTGATTAATGCCTCGCGTTTCAAAATCCAATCCATGTTAGATCCTCGATTATGCTACGACTATAATAATATACCTTTATAGAAGAATATTATGTGTACGATCCTTTAGCTTAAAAAAAAAAAAAAAAAAAAAAAAGAACCCTCGATGTTATTTTATTATTACAAAAAACACGCGTTTATTTCCAACTTCTTCGGTGTTACACGGGTATTTCTTTGTATATATAATTAGAAGAGACAGACTTGGAAATAATATCGTTTGTTATGATACACACGTGTAAATACACTATACGCGGTTATTTCCAATTTCTTCGGTGTTAAACGGTTTTTGTTATTTATTTGTATATATAATTAGAAGAGACAGACTTGGAAATAATATCGTTTGTTATGATACACACGTGTAAATACACTATACGCGGTTATTTCCAATTTCTTCGGTGTTAAACGGTTTTTGTTATTTATTTGTATATATAATTAGAAGAGACAGACTTGGAAATAATATCGTTTGTTATGATACACACGTGAAAATACACTATACCCGGTTATTTCCAATTTCTTCGGTGTTAAACGGTTTTTGTTATTTATTTGTATATATAATTAGAAGAGACAGACTTGGAAATAATATCGTTTGTTATGATACACGCGATAAGAAACCGTTTCGACGAACGGGATTATAACGAGAATAATATTATTGTTCGAATTCGGTGTCATTCCGAGGAACGATTTCCACGCTGTTACGCACATCGTTGTCAAACGTATCCAGTGAGTTGTTCCGCCGAGTTTCACGCGAGCGGCCGCTCGTTTTATCGTTCTCCTCGCATCCTAATTAGCCGCGAACAATACGCAATCTGCGTCATCTGCAATCGCGGCACCGATTCTTGCGCTTTGCCTAACAACCCATTCCATACTGGTTAACCCGCAACAGGCAATAAATCCACGTAATCGGGGGACTCCCAGTGCTACTCCCCCGTCATTCTAACACGTGTATCAACTCGCCCGATCGTTATCGCTTTCCTGACGTGAATTTTACGCCATCAATGATCACGTTTTTCCGAAGCTCGAAGTTTCGAAGTTCGAGATCGATGTGCTTCCCGTGTGCGAGCGAAACGAAAGGATGGATGGCGCGCTTTCCTTCGAATAAGATAAGAGAGAAATTCGAGTAAAAATCATTGGAAAAAGTTTGGAAATTGTTCACGCTATTCCGTACAAATTGAATTAAACACAAAGATTTAGAAACGATTGTATTAGGAAAATTATCACAATGATAGAAATTGAAATTTGAGGAACAAAAATTAAGGGTTTTATTTATTTATTTATTTTGTAACCCCGAATTCGTATCGAATTTAATTAGAATAAGGACGGAAGGTATCTCGAAATAACTAATTCCAAAGGGTACAGCTTCACTGTTCGGAAGCCTTAAACCAAACTAGAATCGTAAGAATTCTTTTTCGTGAAGGGGTCAAAAGTTACGCAACGCATTAAAACTCTTCTTCTTGGTTCTCTTGGACCGTCAGAAGCGCGTCGAACGATCGTGCAAGAGAATTTGAACGGCTCTTTCGATAATTTCTCCACAAGAAAAGAGGAAGGGAGGGAATCGACTTAGGAAATTAAATTATAAGATATTCTTCCGTGTTTGACAAGGTTCAAAGACAAAGGGTCTGTCGTTAGGGATAGAAAGATCGACGAGAAAAAAGGAAAAGAAAAAGGAAAGAAAAAGTTGGAAGGAGTATCTTCGCGAAATTAATTGAATTCTTAATTCGTTCGACGACAAATTATGTCCCGCATTGGCCACTTACATAATTGTCCCAGCCTCCGACTATATATCTCGTCCCTGGCTCGCGATCTAGATAAGCCTGTGCCCTTTACGAACTAGATTCGTGGCATTCCCGAGATGCCTTCCCTCGGTATTCCTGGTATTCCTGCCAACTCCGCCAGGAATTATTCCTGTCCCTGTGAATTTATCGTACACATAATATACACCGAAAAAATGAACGTATTCCCAAAGTATCTTTTCCTTTCGTGTGACGGACGTGAGATGTTTCTTTCGTGATTTTCTCTCGTGTCGTCTTATAAATATCATAAGATTGAATTGAATAAAGATTGAATATCGACGAAATCTTCGAATGCAAAAGAAGAAGAATCAAGGGGAAAAAAAACCTTCAAACGTGAGGAACAAGAATATATATACAGAATAATATCGATTCCTCCTGATTTTTTTATTGCAAAGAATCGACTGCTCGAAAAGAATAAATAAAGAATAATTGCTGTTTCGAATATATCCGATATTAC